AGGCGTAGCCGCGTCAGCCTGTAGCAGTGTACAAGAGAGGCGCATCAACCACGGCGCTTGCGTGCACTGCGCGACAATACAGTACTCGTCATGGTTGCAGAGAGCACGGGCATTCTAAATGAGGCTTCCTATGCAGGCTACTGTCCGAGGTATGTAGAGAAAAGTTCAGGGTTGCATACTGTTGGTACTTCAGGCCTGGAAGCTCTTCAAGCACTATGACGCCAACGATGATGATCTTCTCTCCCCGCTGCTGGATAGAACTTGCTGCCTGTTCATCCCACATGTAAGGTTTCACACGGTATACCCAGCAGGATCCCTCGCAGCTGGCGGGGCGGCGGGGCTCTGCAATTCCACATTTGCTCTCCACTGGCTGCTATACCCATGAACGAGTTCGCACACGAGTACACCATTGTTACAGAATCGTGCTCTCATGCTCCCACTCCATTTCAGAATGATAGTGAACGATGGTGATGATGAGGATGATGAGGATGATGAGGATGATGAGGATGATCATGCTGATGATGATGAGGAGGATGATGATGATGACAATGATGATGATCATGATGCATTTGAAGAGTGGCGACACTGCACGGCGCGTGCAGTCGGTGCCCGGTGCAGACCATGTTTCTTCTCGAAGCCTGAAAATCGCGCTCTCGCCCAGGCGCAGGCGTCCTTGAAACCGTCATCACTTCCGACTTTTGGGCTCGCGAAAATTGCCGTCGTTTTTGGACCTTGGGCTCGCGAAATACGAAACTGCTTTTGGATGTCTGGGCTCACATATAGTCTCTCACTGTTTGGCGCCAAGACTGGCATAGTGGATGACGAAGTGTTGTTTGGTATTTGGGGGACATGCGCGGGGATGTTGGGTCGGCAGCTGGTGGCATTACCGCGAGTGGGCAAGGGTACAATGCTGCCAAACGAGAAGCCACGCACAGACCGCTATTGGAGTCAACTTCTACAGCCCTAAGTTGCGAAGCTATCACGGAGTAGGAAGTGTGTTGGGGGACAAGTTGGAGAACCACTATCCGGTCTTCATTGAAACAAGCGGAGGGTTGACCTGAACAGTCTTGTACTAGCAAACGACCTCTGGAGCATCCAACTCAAAGAGGATTTGCAGTATTAGTGAATTCAAGAGCGTCTGTGGTCAAAGCATCTCAGGTATGAGTTTCAGTTGCTTCTGCGGACTGTGCTTCGGGACCGTTATCCACGGGCGAAGGATGTGCCGCGGGAACTGTTCAAGGACCTGTGCAGCCGGCAGTTGTGTGATTCCAGAACATCTGGCTAGACAAGCTGACGGGGGGCAGACTCTGCAATTCCGACCCAGAGCTGCCATAGCTGATCAGGAAGCCATCGAAATTCAGAACACGCAGGTGACGGTGACCTTCGATGATTTCCTGACGTGGATCACGCGGAATGCTTTCCAGGACTATGAGAGTGGGACCCCAGCCCGAACAAGTGCCACTCATCTATCAAACACCAGGCATCTCATCTCCTTTTGCATAAACACAGAATAAACACACAAGCACACCACAAGCACACCACGAAACCCGTTCCTCATGGACAGGAATGCCTGCTGCTGACCGATGACGCTTGTCTGTTCAGCCGTGGTTCAGCCGTGGCTTTATGCCAAGCACCCTTATGGCCCTAGTGGCTTGAAGTGGCAACCCCCCCAAGCATCTCCAGCTCAGTTCTATTCAGACCATTTTTTAGCTTGACGGCGCCCATAGTCGCACTGGCAGCTGTAGCGGCCGAAGCCAAAAATCGATCTTCATGCCCGAGGAGCAACGGTTCATCCGATTGGTGGCTCGACGGTTCTATGTGTCCGTGCCAGATGTCGAGAAAGTCCCTCGGCTCAGAAACTCTACCTCTATGGCACTCTATGGGTCGAGTCACGTCGAGTCCATGGGGCATCATGGGGCTAAACCCTATAAACCCTGTAAACCCCAAACCCTCAACCCGTAAAAGGGGAGCGCGTGCCAACCCTAAAACCATACCGGGCAACCATGGCATCGAAAAACAATGCGCTCGTTCAGCGAGAGCTCAGGTCAAGCGGCGCTTCGACAGCTTTTGCAAGGCGAACCCGGGCCACCTCGAGTATCAAGAGCTGCTTCAGACTGCAAGGAGTGCTAAGAGGCGCCGTTGAAGGTTTTGGGTTTAGGGCTTCTAGAGTTTGGGGGCCTATAGGGTGTAGGGTTTAGGGTTTGGGGAACTTGTATGGTCATGACCAAAATGAAGGCAAGGGAAACAGTCTCGGATCAGCAATCACCCACAGGCTCTTGGATCTGTGTACTTGTAGCTGCCAGCAGCCTGCATCCAGGGTCCATGTACTTCCTTTGTGTGAGGAAGTCTGTGTTTCTGTGCACCCCTTCTCATTGTCTTCAGGTTCTGTCAGCTGATCGCACTGCTCCTGAACCTGCGTGACACGACGGCCCTGCCCGAGAGTCGTGTGAAGCACGGCACCTACGAACATGTCCAAGCTGCCCCTCCTATAGGTGCTTATTATGGTGGGGCACGCGCTGTCCTGCGTTTCTGGTGGTTCTTGTTTCTCATGGGTTGAGGGGTAGTTCGGTTCGGGGAGGGGCCCGGGGGGGGGGGGCGGGGGGGAGGGGGGGAGGGGGGAGGTGGGGGTTCCATATCACCAGCGGAAGGATTACTTTCGTGTTGGTTTGCAGCGAACCCATGGTATGGGCGAACACATGGCTGGGTATGTTTGTGCTACCACAACCAATCCAGTTTCGCGGGATCATTCCAAACGACGCTGCCGGCAAAAATCTCAAAAGCAAAATGAGAGCTGCACTCTCGACTGATGTTGCCGTTCCCCCCCAAGCCTGCATTGTGCCAATTAAGACATACGTTTCGCACCAGTTGCATGGTGCACGAGCGCACGTCCTGCCTGTGCCCTGACATGAGGGTTCTGTAAAGTTCTGTAAAGTTCTTGTGTCAGGCACTGTCAGGCACCATGCAGGCGCAGTCCATGCACTTTGATGGAACCTTCCTGGCATGGCTTGGGCAGAGAGCCTGAACACATGCGGCACACCCTCAGCCATACTGTAGCGGCACCAGCAAACACTTGACGTAGTTACTCCAGTCTTTGAGATCGATATGCTTGGCCTGCTGCCCCACACGTTTCGCACTAAAGTTCTGAGTTCAGGCGCTTTCTGTGGCTTTAGCAAGCCTGCTATAGGTCCACACATCGGCTAGCAACAATAGGTCGTTTTCGACCTGAGGTCGTTCTGGCGAGAGTTGGACGACGACTGCAAAGGCGCCATGCAGGGTACTTTCCATATTATTTCATCAGCAAGCAACTCTCTGAACACCTAGCTTGCCAACTAATCTCCAAATGCAGACTGGAGCCTCAGCTCGATCCCCGGTTTAATTCAACCCTACAGTGCGAGGCACACCGAATGAACATGTAACACGCAGTAGAGATAGCAGTACCTGAAGAAAGCATGAGTATCACCCCAAGAGACCTACCAACCGAAGCCTGGCCTGCCTTGCGCGAGTGTGAGTGTCGAAGCCCTAAACCCTAAAGTCCCTAAAGTGCAGCAGGCTCTTGTCCGCCAGGCGCAGTGCAGTTCACGGAGTTCATCCCATGGTACTTGGGCTATTTTGGCGGCGACGACGGATCGTCATTGGCTTCTTGGCTCCTAGAGTTTCCTTTCCGAAATGGGGGGGGGGGTGTTTTTGGTTGGGGTTCCTATCATGAGGACGATCGTATCTTGGGGTATACTGCAAAAAAAGGGTGTACCCCCTATTTTGAGAGATGCCTTTAGCCTTTACAGTACAGCTCTTGGATCTTTTTGGGCCAAAGTCTGGCAGGACTTGTTAACAGGCCTGTTCACGAGGGGATCTTCTTGGCTGTTGTAGTGTTGTAGTCCACTCCCGAGGTCAATTTCTACCGCCGAATACGGCCGACGGTCTTCGAGGAGGATTAAAGAAATGTGTTCTGTGCTTCTCTGGGACCTGCTTGGCCTCATCGAGGGTGCCGAAAAAGTCCAAAGGCAGACCTCGTGACCCGAAACATGGAGTCCACGAAGGGCAGCAAGAAGCAGCTCTTCATGTTTCCGTTTCTGCTGGCATCGAGGGCCCGACAGAACCGAATATCTGACCCTCACGGGGTCGCTTCTGTTGAGAATACCTCGAGCCGCATCAGCAACGTCTCACAGAGTGCCATCAATGTTTTGGGGTAAAGCCTGGCGTAGGACCTAGAGACAGGACGACTAGAGAAGACTAGTTTAGCATAGTTTTTGTACTGTAAGGCGGTGATATATGAACTTGCACATAGTTGCCATAACTTCGACTGTGCAACCGTAAGTTGCTAGGCTGCTAGGCGTCGCAAGGTGTTCCACTGAAAGACTGTGTGTGAATCTGCCATTTCTGTTGTGTTGCCAGCCACGGCGGACGACAGCTTGCCAAGAATATGTTGGTTTCTAGTTCATTTCGGGTTCCGCTCAGTGTTTGGCGTGTTGCGTAAGTCGATGTTGGTTCCAGCAGGCATATATAGGCATGTACAGGCCCGTACGAGTCCTCTTCTGCCTTCAGGGCGCCACGACAGTCATGCCTGTGAGGCCAGGCCCGGTACCCGTGGGAAGCAACACTGGTGGCAGGTGGGTCAAAGCACACCCATGATTAGCATTTACACGCGGCGAAGGCTGCAAGCATGGGGCTTGGGCTGAAGCTACACCTGAATCTGCCATACTCTGACCTCGCCAAAACCTCGAAAATCCTCGAAATGGCCCGTAAGCCTTGCTGCTGCGCAGCGAATGATCCGAAGCATATCGCCAAGCGAATTGTTCGGAAGAGGCTGAACTGAGGGATCTATTGGGTTCAGGGAGCCATCACGTAGGGGCCTTTGTTCATGAGAATCTGATCATTGCTGGTGTGATTCCAGGTGAGGTGCTTGTTGCTAGGGCCGCAGTTCTACCAAAGCTCCACGTGCTCACGCTCCCGGTTGTCCAGCTTCGTGGAATTTTGCGAGCCACAGCGCGAAAATCTCCAAGGACATCGCGCCCGGAGCGGCCGCCCGCACGATCTCCCCGGCACGGTGGGGCCGTTGACTCTCTTGGGAGATAGGGCTCTCAGATTTAAGCATGACCAGGCGACTGGGGCATTGACTTGGGGGTGGCCTTTTGCGGGTGTGTGGCCAGTTGTTGGGGATGGCTGGGTCACTATAGGTCCTAGGTCCTATGTGACAGTGAAGCTGCACGACACATGAGTATGTCTCTTGGAAGTCTCTTGAAGCTGAGACGGCGGATGCCCTCAACTCATGGAGCCCTCCAATGGAAGTCGAGGAACACCAGAGGCACTAGACCTTCGCAGACAGAAACGCCTAGGCCGAGATTTGGCATCTTCACACTTGGCCAGCCCTAGCCCTGAAGCTCTGTGACGGCCCTAACCCCAACCCCAAACTCCACAAAATCTGCAGGTCAGTGTCCATGGACGCATCGTCAACCTGTACGGGCAGCTGCTCCTCGACGGCCAGATGCAGACTGATATGGCAGACTGATATGGTGTTGTTGTGGCGATTGCAGGGGAGGAGGTCCTGGTTGAAGATGGTGGTTGCTTCTCGTAAGCGCAGAAGCATGGTGGCTCTATAGAATTCGAACACTTCCTGTTGCAGTCTTTTTGTTGAGTGGTAGTCTGTATGTCCATCGGAGAGGCTGCAAAGCCCGTTAAGCCATTGGGTTGTGTTAACTGCTTCGTTGATCTCATGAGTTCCACACGTTGCGAGTTCATGTACGCAAGAACCTCCAACTCATTTCAAAGCACGTGGCTTTAAGCAGGCTGCCTGGGCGGCCAGCGGATGATGCACCACCTGGCGGCTGGCCAGGCATGGACTGCTGCAACTGCAAATGGTCCGATCAGAATGGACAAATGCTGAACTCAAGTGGCATGAAGAGTTCCGAGGCGTCAGCTGCGATGCAAATTCTAAGCACCCTCACGATGCATCATGCAGATCAGATGACCACATGAAAAGGGCCATGCAATTTAGTTAGCGGCTGCACTGCCCGCAACAACAGGTACGGGACGCTTCGTGAACGCTGCAGAGGCAGCAGAGGAGATTTCTAAACTGAGAGGGGATGCGAGGGCTCAGGGCGCTTATCAATCAGTGCTTGTCAAGACTGAAGATTTTCGTGCAAGCGCTGGAAGGATGATCGCAGGTTGTCGTACTGTAAGAATACAGCTGCTCCCTCCCTCCTTTTTCACTACAGGGAAGGCGTTGACCCCTCATAGCATGACCTGAGGGCATTTTACGGTCGTAGATACTCCTGATTAGTACCCTGTATTCCGAGCAGGACACCCGTGCTGCCAGATTTCGGTGGTTCGAAGCAGGCATCTGGCTGGCTTCAGAGCAGGTTTTGCGAGGTTTGTGGAACACGGTGACTTCTAGCCCGAGAGGAGAGTTGCAGTTTCCACTCTCGCAATATTCCGGGGGGAGTGTTTCTAGCTGTTGCTGGCTGGGCCCATGCTGGGTAGCTGGAACTTCGTTTGCTCTTTGGTGTCGTCGTCTTGGCATGTAAGACGACATCGGCAATGAAAACATTTCCTGTTTGTTTTCCGAAGTGTTGGGCACTGTTACGGAGGACTGGCTGCATTGGTGCGTGCGGTACCTGTTCATTGCTCTCTGGCCCTTCCGACGCTTTGCGAAGATTCAACACTTTTTGGTAGGGCACGGAGTGACCTACTGATAACAAGAAACACTAATGTGCAATTCTCTTGGACGCACCATGCCAGAAAGGACGCGGATTGGTTGTGGGCTGGCTGGTGGACGCTGGCCGCAGCAGCTGGTGCATCAAAGAACTTTGCGGGATACTGTTGCCATGCTGGGGACGGTTGAAACCATGCCTGGACTCCCTGACAATGTCACACAAGCACAACAAGCATGTTCAAGGGTACCCCTGTCCCAGGGACTGTTCTCACTCAAATCGAGAGAAGGAAACTACATGGGCACGGTTTCTCAACAAGCTTTCCCCTTTGAATTTTCTTTGCTGAGGTACCTGGCCGCACTCAAGCGCTTCTGCGAGGATACTTGCGATGATGCTAGCTGGTGAGGGCTCCAGGTCAATGGTTCTGTAGTCTTGGTTCGGGGGTTGCTTAGTACAGGGGCTGGGTCTCTTGTAGACGGAGCACATGGTTTTAACTACCTCTTCCTCCTCGTCTAGTGAGGGCGCGATGCGAGGGGCTTATAGAGCTTAGGGCTTAGGGCTTGGGATGGCTGAAGGCGATGCCGGTCGGGCAGGAAGGCTGAGGGCTTGCACTTCAGCTGAGGCTTTGCCCATAAAAAGCCTCCAACAGGAAGGCTTGTTTTCAGGGCGGCGTTTGACATTAGGATGTCTGGAAATTCAGAAGTGATCACGCCTGGAGTAAACCTGACCTGGGATGCTCTGCGAAGTTTGCCAGTCTGTGGATCCAACCGAGCCCCGGACCTGGCCCCTTGCAGAAAACAAGTTTAAAGCAAGTAGTCTTGCTGCCGAGCCTTTGCCTCAAGCAACTCTGTTCTGCATTTCTCTCTCTGCGGAAGAACATGCTTGGAAGCACGTCTGGTGATGTTTCCCCTCCCTAGTTTACTTGGGGCGGGTTACAGTATGACTAAGTTGCGGGACTTGCGTTTCATAATGCAGGATGGATGATTTACATGTCAAGTCAACATGACGTGCAAGCAGCGACAGTGTGGAGAGAAGTTAATGTTTTCGTTTCCATTGTCAGCTGTTTCTTTGTACTGAGTCTGAGTGTTGAAGTTGGGGTCCCATGGCTTCAGTTCAGCCTTGCGTCGGGTGCATTTCTACTCATCGACCGTTCTTCTATGCGAGGACAATCGCAAGCTCTCCGTTGTACTCTACGACATAGAGGGCTCGGAGTCAATGGGCTACCAGGCATCGCTGTGAGAACACATTTCTTCGTCGTAGGTTTGGCTCAGGTGCTTTGCTCGTTTAAGCCCACGGCATTCAAGCACAGATGGCATTGTCAGAACCACCTGCCCATCTTGATCCGTAGCCACGAGCGGTAAGAACAATGCAGGGATCTTACCTTGTCAAGCCCGAGGCATTGAGAATCCCAATCGCGGACAACCATCTTTGCAGACCACTCCCTGCAAAACCCAAACCCTTAAACCCTGCAAAGCTTTCTGGAGATTTTCGTCCAGGCGCTCCCGGCATCAGGACCCAAGACAGTGCCACCCGTGGCACCAAGCAGCCGGCCTGAATTGTTCAGCACTTCTTCGAGTCCTCCGGCTAAGGGTTTATAGGGCCTCATGTGTAAATCCTGTATGTAATTGGTAGATAGATAAACACGCTGCCACCGACACGACCGGGAAGATGATCATGCTTCTTCAACAGATGCTCGGAGCAAATTCGAAAATGCCAGGGAGGTTGCCTGATGCAGGGTTCCAAAACACATAGCCTCGAACTCTCTGTGAGCTCTCAAGGCATATAATCACACAAACTCCGTCAATCATACAGAGCTGGTCTGAAAATTGCCATTGCCAGCTCTACCACTCAAAAGCCATAGCAACCCTAAACCCTAAGCCCATGTACCCTAAACCCGAAAGGGTTGAACCATCAGATAGCTACTGCGAGAGACACCCCTGCCCGGCCCACATGGAGACTGTGCTGTCAGTTGTATGTGCGTCAGTGGTTGTGTGTTTGATCGATTGGCAGGGCAGGGGAAGATAATGACACAGACCTTCTACGGAAGGGGACTGCTCAGTCCACCACGCGCCAATGACTGCGCGTCTTTCCTCCGGTAACTTCGACTTGACCCTGCGGATGCGGGCGCTGGATGTGCGTGCAGTGCGGGTGGCGAAACCCTAAACCCTAAACCCTATATCCGTAAAGGGAGCCCGTGGATCCGAGGCAGCTCAGGATTCTGGAGCTCGGCATCCTTCGAAGCACTCCGTTCCGTGGCCAGCACACCTGGGCCTGCGGACTGCGTTCGACTGTCTTGAACCCAATTGGAATGGTTTAGGGTTTAGGGTTTAGGGTTGGCATGACTTTTTACTCTCATGTCAACCTGCGTATGACACCTTAGCACGCAGGGCGAAATCACGTGATCAGGCCATTCGGCCTGGGTGGACGGCGTGCATTGTGGGAAGAGACATGGCTTGTTCAGCCCAGGCGATGGGCAGTGGACACCCTATCCGGAGGCAGGATGTCGGGACGCATACATGGCGTTAGGCTTGCATTCAGTGTGCGTTTGCGTGGACCGTTGAGATTGTTGGTTTTTCCCTACAAGAATGGGCTCTGGGATGATAGTGCCCACCCTCCTTCAAGAAGATACTTTCAGCAACAGGCTCGACAACGGGAGTTGCGAGCCGCGCTCCTTCGCGAGGACGACTGTCAGGATGCCAAGCACATGGGAAGTGCCAGGGAACGTCAGGGTACTTGTGTGTCAGAGAGGCTTCAGGCATATTGGGGTTCAGCATTGTGAGCGACGGCACTTCGGCATGTTCGAACGCTGAGCCTGCAACAATTGAAAAACTGCAGCGGCCAGTCGATACAGCTTTGCTTAGGTTAGGACTAGGTGTGGATCTTCAGAGTTGCAGCTCAAGAAGAAGCTACGGCACCAAAAGCCTCCTCATACACTACCCTCCAAAAGCAACGATGATGGATAGAAGCTCTCAGAGTATCATCTCATGTCAGAACTGAGGTTTGGAGGTCTTGGTAGACGCAGAGCGACGGACGGCGCTAGCTGCGCTCGAAGAACTGGGAGCTTGTCCAAGGCCTGGACTGCAATGTTACCTGACCAAAGGAACCCTTTAAAAGGGCTTCTTTCAGGCTACATTCATAGGAATTAGAGCAATATCGGGTAGATGCACCCATTTTGGGAGGGTTCGTTTGGCCGCCAAGGTATAGGAATCAAGCACAGTGTATGGATCCTGCGGCGAGTAGAAAGAACTGACGTCTTCCTCGCGACCAATCTCTCTGAGGGGTGGCGAAAACACGTCGCTGGCGTTTGCAACCCTAAACCCCAAACCCTAAACCCCAAACCCCACACCCCAAACCCCAAACCCCAAACCCCAAACCCCAAACCCTAAACCCAATTCCTTGCACCGCAGGTCCCTTGGAGGTGGCGTTGATTCATCGGCCTCCAAACTTGTCGTGCGCTGGGACGATGGTCGCTTGCTCCCATGAACATTTGATCAGTGTACAGCAAACGTGGCCCCATCAGCTCACACTGTTTTCGAGTGTATTCTTGAATTGGGCCTGCTGGCGCACACACTCTTGGGGTGAATGTTCACGAATGATGATCCTGACGTGACTGCTGCAGCTCGAATGGAGCTTATAATTCGCGAGCCGACTATCATAGTATCATACTGTATACACTTTGCACTACATGCGTTCTTGCAGCAGCCCGTGCAGACCACAGGCTCCAGTGTGTTGGCTGCCTTAAGTGATCTCTATAGGCAGGTTTAGATGGCAAAGGGGTGCTCCTACACCGATGCTGAAGGTGAAGGGCCGGTGGAGGTAGACTTGGCCTCCATCGTGTCCCTGGCCGCCTGCGGTGCCTCATCCAATCCTTGTGTTGAATCTGCTGTTCTAGGAGTCGCGCATGAATGGTTCTTGGACATATGCAATCAGATATGCCTGCTCGAAGAGGGCCCTAGATTCCAAGTTCTTCCAGCCAAGGTGAGGAGAGGGGTCCTCGGGGCACCACCCGTGTTCGCTTGCATTTGCCCGCTGTGCGCGAAGGCACGGACCCCGAAGGAACAAGCGCCACCTCCCGTCCCTGCATCGAGGGCTTGATCAATCTACTTATCGGCTTTAGTATATATATATATAATACCATATTCTTGCATTGTAGTGTAGGTTGCTCTGAAGTGCCCATAACCTCCTAGATCCTTGTATCTTCAAAATGCCACCAGGTGAGCTTCGCCTACCCACCGACCTGGATCACTCCACAGCCCCGGAGGCACAGACACCATTGCTAGCAATTTATTTTAACGTGCTGATCGGTACGACTGCCTTTGCGTGGTCTTTTCCCTGAGAGGCTCAGAGCTGTGGCCGTCGGGTGGACCCGGCTGAGTTGCTGCGAAGCACACAGGGAGGGCCATGCTTGCGGATTCCGGGGACGAAGGGTTTACGGCATTATTTTGTTCACCGTCTTCTCCCACCCGGCAGAGATGGTGGCAGGTGGTGGAAGATGATTGAAAAGTCAACCGGTGTCCTTAGATTGGGGGGACGCTCGATCTGTACGACTTCGTTGCAGGATGTAGAATTTGCTGAGTGGAGTGGGACTTGAGGCAATCTTCTGGCTGCCGCATTTGCTTGGGCACCTTGGCAGCACGGCTTGTTATGGCAAATCAGCTCTATGCCCCTGCTCGGAGAACCCAAGGGTCCTAGCTTGAATCATCTACGCTTCCAAGGTACATTACGGAACGTACGCCCATCCTGTCGGGAGCGCTGGCATCCAGAACCTTGTGGACATTCCTGTGTCCCAAAATATCCAAAATCCAAGCACTTTACGCAGACATGTAAGCCGAAAACCTCAGCCGCAAGGGTGGTCCAAAACCAGTTGGGACCCTGCATCCTACAAATCCAAGCTACAGGCTGCAGGAAGGTTCCTAGCAGCAAATCATCGGCAAAGCCCAAGTTGCTGCATCAGAATCTTGGGTTCCTCAGTGGCCTCTTGCTTGCCTGCAGCAGGCGACTTCTCTTGTGCCAAGCGGCCAAGTGCCTCCGAAAAGGTCATTGAGCCACCCAGCAATGAGTTCAGCTCCGCGTCACAGCTTCTGTAGCTCAAGAGCACATGTACCTGTTTGCGAGCAACATGTCCGTCCTCCTGCCCGGCCCCCTCAGCAGTTGGCATCATGTTGATGACCCTTACTGCAAACGCCCAAAGCGCAGGCTATTCTGCGGCCACGCCTTCCACGAAACGTGCCTGAATCGCTGGTTCGAGGAAAGCAGGCGGCATGTTCGATGAATTGTCGCAAAACATTGTACGGTTTTGGTGCGAGAAAGAACCTAAAGGTGTGACAGGGTAAGAGGTTGCTACATCGTGGATTTCACCTTCTGGGTGCTTTTGGCTAAGGCACTGCCGCACCACACCCAGCATTTGCAAACTACCTCTACACTTCTTGCGCAACCCATGACGGACCATGACGATACGATAGAAGGCGCGGTCACATCCCCTCGTGCCCGGATCGGGTGTGCAGGCGGTGCCCAACCTGCAAGCGCCGCTTTGGACACCTGGTCGGCAACCAGAGTCTCGGTCAGGAGAAGCGGGTCAACGAAGTTCAAGCCCGAAGGTCTTCTGACGACCAACTTCAACATCACACAGCTCCGAAACGTCCGCGTCAGGGTCGTCTTAGGCGGGTTTGGCTTTCTCACGAAGCTCAGGAGGGAGGCATCAAAACCCTGTAAACCTTAAACAAATCCTGAAACCCGAAACCCCGAGCCCGACGCAATGTCCGATCTGGATGTTCACGCTGTACCAGCGGTGTGTGCGCTCTGCAGCGCGAGGAGTCTCAGGAGGTCAGCTAAACCCCCGACAACCCTCAAGAGTTGTAGGGCCCTGTGTGAACCCTTGCAAACCTCTGTAAGCCCTTGTGAGCCAAAATCTCTTGCAAGCCCATCTTGAAACTTCGGAAACCCCAGGCCCGGGGTTGGCTCCATGGCTTGGCGGCTGGACAGCCGGGTGCGGCTGGCGGGGCATCCCGATTTTCGGCCAACGAGGGGAGGGGGAGGGGGAGGAGGGGGGTCGGGGGGGGGGGGGGGCCTTCCAATTACATGGGCTCTTCTCGTGCCCTTGAACATGAGTTATCCAGTAAACTTCGGGCCCGAAACAGGATTTCTATCTCAGATCGAGCCCCATGCATGAGGGTTTGGGATTGAGGGATGCCTAGCATTTGAGGGGCTCCTGCAGGGCGTTTGGCCGTGGTCAAGGTCGGACAAAATGTATCCTAAATGGTGTCGGCTCAGAATGTACAGATTTTTTCGCAGTCTTGGAGATGACTATCACAAGGTGCAGCATTCAACTCTTAGTAGACCAGCATTCGGCTGGCCCTCTTAAGGTGCGTTCAGCTTCATGGTTTAAATCTGCTTCGGTTTTGCTTGATCCCCTGAAAGTTAACAGCTATCAACGCAGCCGTGATGCGCATATTGCAGCCTACTGTCTACAGAGCCGCAGTACACGCTCACACACACACACAGAGACAAACCGCACATGCCCAGTTGCACCAGCACTCGTGGTTTTTTCACTGAAACGTACGCCATCAAATAAGCATTCAGGAGTTGCAGACTGAGGATAGCTTCACCATTGTGATGAACTTTCGCTTTCCAGGCGGACGAGACGCCAAGGGGGAGCCTCTTAGTTTTGCACTGACAGCTGTCATCATGGCTCAGCGGTTGAGGTGGGAGTTTGGATTTCCATCCGGCAGGGATTGGAGAAGTCTTAATTAGCTAAATCTCAGGCGCGACATGAGACTGGGCCGGGAACCTTTGCCTGAGTCCACTATGCCCAGGCCATATGTTGGAAGAAGCCAGTGGCTTGGATGAACGCAAGTGGTCGGTCCAGAGTTTAGGATGAACACCTGTTCATCCCAGTCCGAGCCTTTCAAAATGGTTAGACGGTTTGAGTAGAAGTGGAATGGCACGAGTTGGCCTACGCGTGCTTATGTTGGAGCGCATAAAATGCAAGTCGCAAAACCTACACCCCAAACCCCCCCTTTGCTGTCAAGCCCCAAACCTAGGCAAGCTTTCCTACCACATGACGAGCAGGGGAAGCCACTCGGCATATTCTCGGCACGCAAGGCCGCACTTTTGGAGTTCAAGTCGCATGTGGCATTTGCTAAGAGCACGAAGGATTTGCTTCTGACAGCACACAGAATCCTGTATAGTGTGTATCTCCCGAGAACTATCTGTCTAGCTTCGTTGCTGTTGCCAAAGCAAAGATGCTGCCAAGGCTCTTGCTGGCTCTTTTTCAGCTTGCATTCAGGCCCGGAGGGACGGCTTCGCAAGAGCACTCTCTCCCCCTCCCGGTCTCTTTCTGTCTTTCTCTCTCTCTCTCTCTCTCTCTCTCTCTTTCACCCTGTCTCTAACTCTAATGCTAACTTCTCACTCTCTCACTCTCTCACTCTCTCACTCTCTCACTCTCTCACTCCCGCACTCTCTCACTCTCTCTCTCTCTAACACACTCTCCCTCTCCCTCTCCCTCCCACTCTCCCTCTCCCTCACACTCTCTCTCTCTGTCTCTCTCTTTCGGCTGTGCCCCATGTGTCATAGCCCTACAGATGGCCTCTTGAGAAGCGCGTGTAGGCACCACGCATTGTTCAAGCCTTCAGAGGTCCGGGTCCATTCAGCATGGGGTGCCTCTAGCTGGATGTGTTTCTTCCGTTCCCAGGCGGCGTGTGCTGTTTGACCTTCGAGTGTCGGCCACGGACGCCAAGTACTGGCCGGCCTTTAACATACACTTGAAGACTGCAGCTTGACTGAGGTCGTACCTTAGGCCGACTTAGGTTCCAGGCTAAGTTCCAGGCATGCACGAGCCTCGAGGGGATTCGACTGGGTTAGCACGTAGATCCTTGGCATGTCCTCAAGCCATGCATCTAAGGCACATTCAGGGGGTGCTGAACGCTTTGGCTTCCCAGACGAAGGCTACGGTCAGCGCGTGCTCGAGGCATCGATGTCCTGGGTAGGATTAGGGGACCCTTAAAAGGGAACCCTCTTCTGGCTCTCTTAAAAAGGAACCTTATTGAGAGGGTCTACATCCCCCAGGGTCGCCCCAATCCTATCGCCTACGATGTTGGGCTGCCCACAAGATCCCACAACCAGCTGCACTTTCACTAAGGCTGCGGCAATTCCAGCCGAGGGTTCTTAAAGGGATCCATCTCAAACCGAAACAGCCATTCCCAGGAGCTTCGACAGAATGGCGTGACGCTGGCCGAGCTCTAGTGTGATGGGGCCATGAGGGTAACCTTGGGGGCAAGTGTGTACAGAAAGTTGCTGGCAGAGCTTGAAGCCTTCGAGGCAGATCGGCAGAATTTTCCGCCAGGGGCCGATCCGGGCCTTCATGGGTTACAACTCTTCGACCCATGCCGCCAGCTGCGAATGTAAACCCTAAACACTCAGCCGCGCTCGATCCGCACAGTCCTGGACCCTGCGGGCCCTGCGGGTGCGTCCGCTCCGTGAGGCCGAAGCACACTGAGGAGCCTGGACCCCCATCAGCCCTCTACCAGCGCTGCTCGAAGCAGAAGCCTGGACCTTCCCGTATTCACACGTAGTACTCTTGTATTTGCATATCATGAAGACAGTAGAGCATGAAATAGCAGACTAGAATATACTAAATGCAGCATAATCAGATTATGTATGTATATATATATATATATATCACTTATATATCTATCGATCTATCTATTTACATATGGTCGTCGAGGTTGGTAAAGGATTCTGCTTTAGGCGTCGCTCGGGCCGTGGGCCACATGTACAGCTGCCAGTCCGAAGGAGGCGCGTGAAATGACGCGATGCGTTTAGCAGAAGTGACGATGGCAATCTGACGCTGCCAGGGCGTCGGGACCACGCCGTGTCAACTCGCAAGATACGAAGGGTTCAAGCAATGCTGTTCTAGCGCCGAGTGCCGGCTGCACAATGCGGTTGAGCAAGGAATTTGCTAAGTTAGTTTGCGCATGCCATACTTGCATGCTACATATCTTGGTGGTGTAGCTCCGATTTTACACTGAGCGATCCTAGGTTCAGCCGTGGCATCATAGAGCTTCGCAGACCGGCAAGACATACTGAGATAGGCAGCAGCGGCCACATGCAACAGCGTGCAGCCATCCGTTCCCATGATGGGCTTTGGGTGGCCAGTCTGCCATCAGCTGTACATTGCGCATGCTTTGACATACCCCTACCGTAGCTTGTACATGTTTCTTTCTAGTGAGACTTTGTCCATTCCCTATGTATTGTTCGCAATCTGTGCCGAAATGCACTCAGGTCTGCCAAAGTGCACAGCAAAGACGTGTGCGACGTGGGCCCTGCGGTGAGGCCTGTGTCTTGGTGCCTTCGTCTAGTGACTCAGGTAAGAGTCTGGTGTTCGCCCTGCTGCGGCCGCCATGTGTTGGATGCTCTTTCATCTGCTTCTGCCTGCCATCTTTGCTGCGCATTTGGGAGCTGCGGACTTTCTGCCAGGGCTTGCGATCTTGCTTTGCAGAGCGGTTTCTAAGTTCCAGAGTTCACAAAGGCAGTCGAGAAAAGCTCAAACACGTGGTTCGGCTGATTTCCAAGGGATCTCCAGGCCAGATTCTGAAGAGACTACTTCGGTTGAGGATGCCACAAGGGGCTACATTGATGACACCTTCTGGGCACGCAGAGCGTGCACAGCTCTTTCGTGCAGGTCAAAGCAACTCGCCTGGGAGCCACATGGACGGCAGTTTGAATTCAGAATGAGAAATTACATACTATGCGTGATATGAAGAAACCAGAGAAGAAAATCGATATTGCACACCAGCCCAGGGTCGATCATGGTGGCACTCAGACAGCGGACTCGCTTCGAGGGAGGCTCCGGCGAAGGCGAGAGGAGCATGGAGCTGGTAGACCCATGTTGCATACTTTGCGGCCGCCACCGAGCCCCAAAGTGTTAAACCGGTGCTGACGCAAACTGAAAGAGTTTCCTAACACTAGGGTTTCTTCAGCCATTCAGCCATGCCGCGGACTTCCCAAGGTGTTGCATGCAGTTGAAAAGTTTCGTTACATTGCGAGCGCCCAGGGGGGCCGATAATTGAAATTGCCCCACGTGCCCCCACTTGCCTCACTTGCCTTTCTGGAAGAGCTAGTTGATGTTGCCCCACTTGCCCCACTTGGTGGGAAAAGCTAATTGATGTTGCCCCACTTGCCCCAGGAGAAATCCCTGCTGCTTGGGCAAGTGGGACAAGTGGGGCAAGTGGGGCAAGCGGGGCAAGCGGGGCAAGTGGGGCAAGTGGCCCCCCCCCCCCCCCCCCCCCCCCCCCCCCCGCCGCGCCACAAGTCTGATCTGGTGCCGCCACAGGTCGAGTAAGCTGGCCTCGCTTCTCCGACCGGTGTCAGCCTGTGTGCCTCCGACCTACTTCCTTTGCTTTTTTCAGCACAATCTGAAGTTGTTTGCGACAATGTTTGAATGCTCCGAACTGTGCTCCGGATGTAGCAGTGTCAGGGAAGCTGTTGGTACTTGCCGGAAGCTGTTGGTGCTTGCTGTGCCAGGATGCAATGACCCATTCCTCGCGCTTGCTGGAGTGGTCTGCCCCTGTCAGAAGCACCCTGTCAGCAATCAGCGGGCGAGTGCGGCGTTATCTCCAGGTGCATCATTCGCCCCGCTGCATGGTACTTAAGCCCGCACGAGCGCAAGAAGCATTGTCGGATCCAGTCCCAGGCATTCTCAGGGCAAAGGGTACGTAACCTGAAGCAAAGAACATGTCTCTACAAACTTTCTGTGGCCGGCGGTCGCAGTTCCCTGAAAGATGATGCTTAAGATGAGGGTTCCAGGTAGACCTCGGCTTAATCGGAGGAGAGGGGCAACATCACTTTGCAGCTGTAATGCTCACTGAGCCAAAAGTCGTTGCTGGCAAGAGAGAGGTGAAGAATTGCCAAGCCCCTTTTAGTCTCGGGGCCTGAGCCACCGGCGCACGAGGTAGAGGACAGGGTTCAGAGCTTCGGAGATCTTGGTGCCTCTGCTGAGGTGCAACACTGGATCTCGACCTGAAAGTGACGCTTTCTGCTGGGCAGATAAAGTCCAGGCGCCGGATGGACCATCTAGGACTAGGACCTTGTAGGATGTGAGGCAGGCATTGACCCTGGCAAGCAACAACCCAGCAGGGGGGCGTTAGGCAAGACTCATTCCAGAATTTCCTAGCTGGCAATTGCTGGCATGTGCCTGGTGTCACTTCCTCTCAGGGTGGCTTCGGCATATGGGCAGGACACCATTCCCAGATGTGCTATCCACGCAACCTGACAGCAGAGCTGGGCATCACATTGTTGGGCATTCGGATTGTTCTTAAGCTGAAGACATGCTTGATCCGGCCCTTCAGACAACTCGCTATCATCTAGCCCCAGGTCTTGTGGAGGTGCTAACGTCACTGCCAAGCTCTTTATAAGTGGTTTTCGACGTCACACATCAGCAGGTCTTTTGCTCTCATGGAAATTAGATAATCAGATAGTCGGAATGATTCTGGCGCAGTCTCGGTGGCCAACAGAGCTGACGACGGTACGCCTGCCACCATGACCAGAGTCAAAGCCACACTTGTTGACCCAACTTGCCACCTTCCTCATGAAATGCTGGTTGGCCAAGAAGCAGACAGTCGGAGACCCAGAAACAAATGCAGGTCTGGGTGGAGGGTGGACCCTGCGGCTTGCAGCTGGCAGAAGTCCGTGGCAGTGCAGCTTGGCTACAGTGCCAGGCCTTCCTCGGCCCAGGCTGTACGTGGCTTAGGTTTCTGGTGTGGGATGTTTCTGTCCTGACGAACGTCGACTCCGAAATGAGTAGCCTTGCGGACTTGCAGGCGCCATGCTTAAGTGCATGCTAAGATGTTGTCAGAGATCAATATGTGCTGATCCAGCTCCCATTCTGACTGCAGCCCGTTTCTTTGTTCAGGCTGTGTTGCCTGCTTCAAAATCGGCTAGGCAATGTCGAGGGAGGCACTGCACCTGACAAAATTGCTGGCGCATTGGTCAGGTATGCCCCAAGAACACCAAGAGCGCCCTGCACGTCCATTGGATGCTCGGTCGCATGAGGCATGGGCCTTTAGGCCTTCATGCCTTCCTGAAGCCCCAAACCCTAAAAAGAAGTAAAAACAAACGCTTCCCTCTCCCGTCTGCAGACTTTTCTGTACTTCGTGGGGTGCGAGCAGGCCTCGAAGCGGTTCTTCATGTCAAGGTCAAGGGCTTAGGGTTCACCGTGTGCATCCTCAAAGCCTGCTAGCCTGCTGTAAGACAAATTCATCGGGTTTAGGCTGTTAAGCGTGTATCAGCCCTGGCAATTGGTCCGGGTTCTGCGACCATGCTGCCTCTCTTGCCAGCTGTTTCTCAGAACTTCCGGAAAGAACTCTAAGACCCCTTGGTGCCACATCTGTGCACTGCCCTGTTTGCGCTTTCAGGATCAGCCGGGTGAAGAGCGTGCCGGGAATCGAGGGAGATGACTGGCGTCTCATGGACCCATGCGGGGGATGTTCACGACTGCACTCCCTTGGCTTCAGGTCGCAACACTTTCGCTCCCCCCCTATATGCCCCAGGAGCCGAGATCACTGCGGAATCCTTCGAGGCCGCACACAGTTGCACAGGTGGCCTGGCAGCCGATTAAATATTTGACAATCTGGGGCATGGTCATTCGCAAAAGGAAGGTTGTAGGGTTTGGGTTGTTCATGCATCTCTTGTATGATTATTTTGTTAATATTAAGCATCGTCCCAAACATCATTCAACCCTGCTTGCAGCTAGTCAGCTACTAATTCAGGCAAAGGACTATAGCTGCACAGTGATAGTCTTCAACAGCAGCAGGCTGCAGAATTGTTCAGTCTTCCAAGTTCGCTGATGCCACGCTACTCGTTGGCTGTACAATGACAAGCCAGCCCAGACCAGCTACTTCATGCAAAAACAAAGCATTGAGTTCACAAATTGGCCCTCGGCTCTATGCAAGCATATCCCTCTGCAGGCTTTGCTTGGGGTCCTGGCGTGCATCGCAGCAGCCCGGCTGACAGCCCTTCTTATGCCGACTTCGATGGACTTCGCAACTTTGTGGGCCCCACAGCATTTTGGGGCACTGTCAGGGGCCATAATCACGTGCTGGCCCTGCCAGACACTGATGGATTTCTGTGGCGATGGGCAGTTGTAAGGGTTCTGAGCTGTACACGTAGCCAGTCATAGAGGCCTTCACCCGTCAGTGCCTGGAAATAAGGAAGCTTTCGGCATGTCTGCGGTGGAGCTGGGTGCA